GGGGGGGTCTGTATTGAAAAATCAATTCGAGGGGGGGGGGGTCTGAATTGAGCGATCAATTATTAGACCCGGACGTCCCAACACTTGCTTCGCAAGACAAACTCAAGGTATCCCCTAAAGGGCTACCTTTCGTGATTAGAGCAGGGGTAAAAATGTTGAATTCTCGTGCAGTGGTGCCCGCCCGCAGGCATGGCAAGTAAGCCGAAGTCGGCGCAGTCTTTTTTTTCCGCGGGGGTGTGGAAATAGGGAGTGCGTTGACTAAACGAGCCTGGATGCCAACCTAAAAAGCCTGAAGGAAGGAACAAGGCAAACGAAAAAGCAGGAAAAGAAGGGAAAGGTGCAGGGGGTGTGGGGGTGTGGGCAGGGCGTGCATTGACTGAACGAGCCTAAACGCCGACCTAACAAGCCTGAGAGAAAGCCCAAGCAAACGAAAAAGGAAAGGAAAGAAAAGGTGCGAGGGGTGAGGGTGGGAGGGTGGGGGTTTCCAGGCCCGTAGGCATCCAGTCACTTCACGCCTACGTTCGTTTTTTGACGTGACATGTGATTCCCTAGTGGCATGTGGTATTCATTCAGTGAGCCCTGCGGCATATAGTCTCAGTGAGCACTCCCTTGAAGTCCCTGAACATGTCTAAGTCTGTTTCGTTTGTCTAGTGACGCACATGAGCGTGTGGTGATTTTCAGTAGTTCGGTCTCCGTAGGCCCTGCGGCATTCAATCAGTAAATCCAAGCAGAACGAGAAGTCATCGAAGGATCGTGAAAAGCTGGAGACAATCAGTGAGGATCCCCCTTTGCGGGTCTATGCACATGCTGCGCCCCTCGATGGGGATCACACCACAGCCCTCAGTGGGACTCTGTGGCGAAACGCACTGAAGGAAGAGCTGATTCAGTGAAGGTAGTCCCCTTTAGTGAATACGATACCAGCTGCAATAGACCTTGACTGGCAAGAACTGAAAGAATGCTAGGTCGGTGTACCAGAAATGTTGAACATGGGTGACACGATGGGAGCTCGTCAGCACTTTAGAAAGGGTTAAGATTCCTGCACGTACGTGACTTTGGCGTCCCAAAGTCATGTCACAACACGATGGAAGGGTCTTCGTGGGGCAATGCCCTCCCAAAGTGTTCATTGCCCCCCTGCCTTCAAAAATTGTTGCATTGTGTATGTCCTTTGAAACAGGAAGTGACACACACACACACACATATATATATAATATATCATATATCCACGCGGTCCATACGGTCCATACCTGTACACTGTTCATCCTTTTACTTGTTGTATGTTGGTTTCCGGGCCTCGCTATAAAACCAGCGGGGCCATGGGGCGGCCCACAGCCGCCCTGCAGAGGCCACATGGCGCTGAGCCGATAAGAAGGCCTGAGCCGAAAGAAGTGTTTGAGAAAAGGTTTCGTCGCGTCCCAAGATCCTAAAACAATGTCTCAAATGATGCGGTTTCGTCAGGTCATTCAGAAGTGTTTAGGCCTCAAATAATGCGGCGAAATGATGTCCTAATCATGTGCTGATGAGTTTCACGCACTCAAAAGCCCGCCTCCAGTTCTTCCAATGAGATGAAGCCGTCCTCATCCTGGGATGTGGAGATATGGAAACGTGAACACGCCAGCTAGCACACAGACACACACACACACACGGAGGGAAAAAAAACGGAGAGCGTTGAGATATGAAAAGTTGCTGTAAGCTGCTACGAGTAGTCTGGCATGTGAGCGATTCGAAGTTGAAGAGTTATGGGCATCCAGCTTATGGGCATCCACTTAAGGTATTCTTAGTCGGTTGACGTCAGGTCCACAGGTCTCCCCCAGCTGCTTCGTATAGAGAGGCTGCAGTAGAGTAGCGCCACTTCTTCGTCGAGGCGGAATGAGTACCGTTGGCCGATTAAACCGTCTGAGGCGCTTCACTCGAAGTAGGTTGACCCCTCATACCGTTGCAAGGCCCAAGTTCTAAAGTGCCACCCTGCAGAAATGGAATTGACATGTTGCCGTTGTAGGGCTCTGGGCATGAAAGAAGGTTTCATGCTCCCGGTCGTACAAGTGATGTTCCTTACGATGCTTTAAGCGTGGCAGGGTTGTTTGCTGTTCCTTGCAATGTTGGAACAGTTCCAGATTCATGCATAGTGGCGGGAAGTGAAGTGGCTGCCTGCGACTTGTTATTAACAAAACAACATCACCTAAGTCTACCTGTCTAATAACATCCAATAACTGCATTGCAACATCAAAGCCAATCAACTTAAACTTAATGGTTTCTGCTGTTGGAGGAGGATGCAAGACTGCACCAACCCAACTTGAGCGGGGAAACACGAAAGGTAGAGACGGACCGAGTAGCTGTCGGGACCTTTTCTGGTGAGGGACTGTCTCCGGTGTTTCAGGAACGTGCCCCTTGGTCAGTCATGGATGAAACCAACAAAGCCAGAGAGCACAAGAAGGCATAAGAAGGCTCAAGAGGAACACCGTTGCGGTCAGATTGCGCCACACGGCTCGAGAGGCTGCGTTGCGTCGACGCTCGTTTGTGTCTAGGTGTGAAAACAGGCGCGCGCGTAAAAGTCGCAATGCGTAAACGCTCGCATGTGTACCAGCTATGGTCCCACAGCTGCACGCGCTGTGTCAGGATTACAGGCCTGCACGCGTTGCATCGAAGCCGCAGTGACTCAGTGACCAACCCCCTTGTAAGGATAGTGCTGGAGGGGTGCGGCCGGTACTGCCAGGGATGGACGTCACGCTATGGTGGGTGTGCTCCACGATGCGGTAAGATTTCGCCACGCTAGGGTATAAGATGGTATAAGGCTGAGTCGAATGGTGTTCCGCGACGCGAGGGGTTTCTCCACAGGGCTTTGCAGAGAGGCTGTGTTGCATCGATGCTCGTTGGTGTCGAGCAATATGGTCTGTGAACGCAGTACGCGCTGTGTCAGGCTGCCGGGTGCGCACGCGCGGCATCGAAGCTGCATTGCGCTACCTCATTGCGCAGGGTTCGTGCTGTATTGCGCAACCTCTTGGCCAGCGTCGTACTGCTGTGACTGTTAAGCGCATGACTTCACCTTATGTCCAGAATTTAGTAGTGCTGGCGACGAGGGGAGGGGACGGGGAGGGGAGTGGAGGGGGGAGGGGGGGGTGGGGGTGTTAGACATTGATCTACCAATCTTTAGTCCCGAGCAAGCTCTCAAGCCAGTCCCTTTGCTTCGCAAAGCAAACTCAAGGTAGTCCTTACCAGGCTACCTTTCGTGACTTCGACGAGAATGTGACTGTAGACTTCACTGTAAAGATCAGATCAATGCGGCCGCTGTTCGTCGTCGATTGATGCCACCAAGGAAGCGTGTTCCTTTTCTATTGCGGCCTCCTTCGTTGTAGCTTTGGCCGCCTGGTGATGCCAATTTCTGCTACAAAAGGGATGCAAAATTTGGCAAGAGCGCTTTTCGCAGACCGCTCCATGCCTTCGGTGGTCGCAGGGTGGCATACGGATCCCAAAGGTCGCGGCAGTGGCCCTCATAGTAGAGGTGTGACATAGCAAAAGTGGGCAAGTATGCTCTCAAGTAGCCTCAGGTCAAGCTTCGTGTTGAAGCTTCAATAATTCAATAATTGGACATCACTCAAGAGAAACTCGACCTCTTGGGTCAAAAGCACGTGAAGCATCGATTCGTGCATCATGATGTCCAGAAGCGCATGGAAGGAAAGAGGACTCATATATATATGTAGGGGCCCTTATCAAGTCGGACAAAGGGACTGAAGCCTATGCGATCCACTGGGTCGCCCCATGGCGTCTTCACCGGGCTGTCTATTCTTGATCGAATTGCACAAACATCAACAAGCAATCCCGCTGAAGTCATGGCACGCGCCGGGATGGGCAGCTGAATCTGGAAAGTGGTGGCCTGGTCATGTCGCTGAGCTTTGCGGAATCTGCCCATGTCTTGCTGCATTCGTCAGAAAAGGTCTGTTTTTTGCAAAAATTCACCACCTAAAGCGAGCTTGGAAGCTGCATTCTTACGCAAGGAACCTGCGTGCTGGGAGCGCTGCGACTGTGCACTCGGGATTGTCCTCAGGAACATGCGTTTCGTGGAAGATGTTGGGGAAGAACACAATAGCCTGCACACAGGCAAGCTCGCCTAAACTCAGTAGGATGAACATGCCATAAATATAATATATATATGGGTTTGAGGCTCAGGGCCATTACTATTACATACTAACTATTACCCCTTTTGCCAGCCTCACCCTGCTGCACAGTGGCTTCCCAAAATGGAAGCCAATCAGCTCCATAGATCCTCATGGCAAACAGTTGTTCTAGTATCTGCAAGTGGTCGTTCCCAGCTAAAGGGTTTCTGAACACGCGTGTTCAGGCTGCCTCCATCAAATGATTCTGAGCCCCCAAACCCGCCATCGTGCGGCTCGGGCGCATCCCGCGAAAAGTGCACCTGCCATGAACGAAGGCGAAAGGTGTCGCACACCAAAAAGGGTTTGCCAGATAACTCACCGCCCGATGTGCCCGTCACGGGCCCGTCACGGGCCCATCACGGGCCCGTCACGGGCCCGACAGGCTGGCCTTTGGGTGCGGCATGAGGCGCCAATGCCTCAGGATGTCTGATTCCACTGCGTCACTCCGCCACGCTTGGGCCCTGGGTCCTCCATCTGTGGAAATTCTCACCAAATGTTCAAACCAAACATGGTCCCTCGAGGCGACTGCTTCTGGCCAGTGATCTGCAGGGAAACAGCAGGTATGCAGTAAGTGTCCTCGACCAAAAAACACAAGTGACCCGTGAGCAACATTGAGCAACCACACAGTGATGGAAGCTACACGGACACCTGTTCCAACACATGCACTGCGGTGCTGAGCATCCGCATGGGCCATCACAGCTCCATTGCGGCGATGAAACCAGAACCTCGCCATCAGCGCCGATTCAGGCTGGATGTCGGACGTGGGACATGCGCTGTAAAACAAGAAAAGGTAAGGTCCCCCTCAAGAGACGTGGACATAACCACGCGGGACACCGGACACTTGACCACGGGTAGAAGGTTTCAACAAGATGCGCACTTAAACACGTTTTCCTTAAGGTCACCTTTATGGAACGAAACATGGAGGGACGTTTGGCTACCCAGGCAAACATACATCAGAATCAAAATGGCCTCTATCAGGTAGATGCCCTGTCAACCCCTCTTTTTAACCTTCCAACCCGTGTGTTTAACCTCCCCACGCTTTCTTCTAACCTCCCAACCCCCTTCTAAAAATCTGCAACCTTTTTGCTTAACCACCGCCTCCTTCCTATTCGTTAACTCCCAAGCATGTGTTTTACCAACCCTTTGTATTTTATAACCTCCCGGCCTTTTGCTTAAACCCTCTTTTGTTTCGGTGGGCGCAGCGCCTGACCCCGCGTTGCATGCCGGCTGGTCACCCCCCATTCATTCTTTTTCCTCCTAGACACACTACACAAGCTCCCACGCAAAAAAAGGTCTTGGGCCCCCTTTCAGCTGAGTCTGGCGCTTCTCCGGCTCACTTGCGCGCTTATCCGACGGACGCTCGGCCCTCCCCACACCTTGCGTTCGGTCTGTCCTTATTCTGACCTTCAACCCTTCCGACCGGCTCGGACAGAGCACCAAGCGCCGTGGCCACGAAATCTGCGCTTCGTCCACAAAGCTCTGCGCCTGGGCCTCCCACGACATCTGCACATCAAGATTCACATCATCGCGCCGCCACCATATCCAAGCACACTGCGCCTGCCACAAAATCTGCAACATACATGCTATGTCGAGCCCACTAAGCCGGCGCAGCAAACCCAAAAACCCAAAACCAGCTGGGCCTGTGGCTCAGCTGGAGCTGTTGCTGTTGCTGGTGCTGTGGGACGTAAAGGCAAGGAATGAAGACTGAGCCGTGAACAAGGGTATCCTGCTTGAGGTTTAGCAAAGTACTATATATACTTCTAAGGTTTGGTGCTGCAACGCAGGGTTCAGGGTGGGCCCCCTTCAAAAAGACCCTTTCGCCCCTTTACCATTCATGGGGCTAAAGGAGGCCTTACCTTCCTTTTCCCATTGTTTTTGGCCGGAATCACAAGAAGGGAAGCGGCTCCGCACTAGCTGAGCGGCTCCGCCGACTCGTTGGCCTCCCGCAGGTTCACAGCACCACGCACGAAATAGGGCGGCTGCCATGCCTGACGATGATCCTTCTGTTTGATAAGCGATCACTAGTGGCAGTTTTTCATAGCATCTCCAAGTGCCAAGGGCCAAAGGTCAAAGGTCCGTGTAGCCTACAGTAAGTAGAATGCAAAGGCCTCTTGCACTGCAGCACGCACTTCGGGTGGCGCTTCATGGCCTCCGTCCTGGGAGGACAAGGAATGCGCTTGACCAAACCGACTCCATGGGACTTTGCTCTGATCCATCCTGCGCAGCACCTGCACAGCATCTTGCAATGGAAATACGCTCCTTCACGTGCCATACGTAGGGTGCGTTGGTGGCAGCCAGACTCCCGGGAAGGTCCTCGGGAAAAGCAAGCTTCAAATGTAGCATCTCTGTCAACAGAGTTGCGCGTGCTACAAGCATGCAATTTCGCAGGCGCCAAGCGCTACACCGCACTTATACTATCTTATACTCCCCTGGAAATGGACATGGACCCCCAAAACCACTGGGTTGGTTTTCGCAAAAATGGTCACTTCCACTCGGGGTGTTCCTTCTCAGTGTCGGATTCGTCATGCAATGCAGCAGAGCACGTCATACGTCCTGGAGAGCTCTTTGAGGCCGGTCCTTCTCAAACCATGCCTGGAAGACGCACGACATCAAACGACCAAATCAAGGTCTATGCGAAAAAAGATCCATAGAGTCCATGGACCAATGAGTCTATGCCAATTGTCAAATGGCTCATGGGCTTAAGGAGGGATGCACGAAAAACATCTGAAGAACGGTGAAGTGTTGGTGTCGAAGGGTCGAAGGCCAAAGTGATCACGTCACGTGAAAGATATTTGATCTGAAAGAATGGGAACAGCTTGCCAGCTAGCCTCGCCTTGCTTCCAAGCGAAACGAACATCTCTCTCCTCGGGCTCAGTGCACTTTTGCCGGATCGGATGGCTAATCCAAGAGCCCAAGTGAATCTTGCAACACCTCTACCACGAACATCTAAATCTTCTCACTTACATAACCGAGAACTCAGTGTCAAAGAGATGGGACATTTGCCATAAAATCTGATGGGTGTCCGGCCACCGGAGTACTCGGCACGCATCTTGGCAGACGGAAATCGCTCATGGAACTGCTGACAGGTGGAGCCAACCAAGTCCAAGTTCTCGCCTTGCAGGCAAGACCGGAAAGAGAGCCAGCTCGGGCTTGCACTCACAATACAAGCGCAAGGCACACGGTCTTGCGCCAGGAACAGGTCATCTTGCGTGGGCGCAACAGAAGCGCCTGCGTCTTCGATGATGAATGGCTTCCCCAGTCGTATGCGCTCGTCGAAGTCATTTGGGCTGATCTGCCATGGAATGAGCCATGCACAGATCATCACAGATCCCCTAGTGGTTATGATAGTATGTGCCTGACAAAAAAACCTCCCCAACATCTCTATACACCATATGATTGTTTTGCCTTGCCCTTTGGTATTTTTTTGGGCGCGGCTGTGCCCTCGGTTTTTTGTGATTACACCAGCCGTCGCACGGTCCGGAGAACCTCCGATCCGAGGCACCAGATGTGTTCGGTGTCGGTCGCACCTGGCGAAGGCGTTCCACAGATCTTCCTCCAAAGAATTCGTGGTGAGGGGGGCTCCTCCAATGGCTCCTCATTCACACAGACAGCAGTTGAAGACACATCAAAACAACTTCGAGCCCATGATTTCTAGACTGGGGACATGAATGAATAAGCATTCTGCGGCATCCGCTGCACAACTAGATTTCCTTTGACCCACTAACCTCCACACTTTCGCAGATATGGCTCCAGGCAGCTTGCTGCGAAGGCGTGTGTGAAAGGGAACAACGCCAGATAGCCATGGGCGGAGAACATGAGAACAGGTTGTTTGACAAGAAGTATGCTGCAATAATGGCTTTGACTTGTGCCTGGGACTTCGACAAAACGGCAGAAAAGGGTGTGCTGACCATCTATATATATATATATTATCTGGATGGCCAATATAGAAGATCATAGAAGGACAAAATAGGGGTGCAAGAAGAAGCTGAATTCTTGGTGAGTTCGCTGAGTGGGCGAAGACATCGCGCGTGTCGCGATGCGCAAAGTTTGGTTGCAAACAGCAAAAACATCGATGCGGGGGCCTTTCGGCTTAAGGAAGTTCCAGTAATCCTCTGGATGTTCTGAAGGTCATGCCAAGAACTCTACCACACAGGCCTGTGCCAAATGATTGCAGACAAAATAGCTCGTGCTCACGTTAAATCACATGAATCTTGCCAATTGTGCAGGTCCCATGACCTGAGACATAGCAAGAAAGTAAGTTCTGAGTGACTGCTGTGCACGCTTTGTTCGGCAGCATGCAATCAGTACAGCAGCTGCGAGTGGGAAAACAACGTGCATTGGATGTCCATCTGCCCCATGAGTCACATGTCTATTGCCTCACTCATCTTCTTTTTCTAGAGAAACAACGGCACTGCACTTGGTCGTCAACCTGGTATGATTCACCAACATCACCCTGGCTTGCAGATCTCACACCCTGATTGCGCAAATGCTCAGAGAACGCAGCTATATAGTATGGATTCCAGCTGAATTGATCAATGCTCACCTAGCGGCGCCTGCCAATTCATTGGTGCAGCCAATTCATTGGCTTCCGGTGATGGACGCGGGGTCACTCAGCATCACAGACCCCCATCACACGGAGCTCGGCCAAGCTGCTCCGCCTCGGCCGTTGAGGCTGGCGGAGCCGTGCGACCCAGGTCGCAGGCACTGAACGCCTTCAATGCTGCCTGGGACTGGGCACCTTAAGGACTGATCTTGGTCCACACCACGCATCCTCGGACGAACGAGCTCGCCCGCAGAACCACGGTGTGAAACTCTCGACGACTCCACCCAGGGACCCACCGCTGGCGACATGAAAAAAGACGGTGGCGCATGTCATTGATGTGAGGAATTGTCAAATTGCTGGTGTGAAAGGATAAGAAAGAAACACCAAATTTTGTTTGGACCCCTTCAACAAGGCCCCCTCAAGGGAGGCCTTATCAAAGGTGACCAAAGATATGATTGTTGTCTTCTATTCCATCCATTCTTATGTCTGTTTCCTCATGTCACTGGGGCTGTTGAGGCTGTGGCCAATCCTTGGCGTTATTTCTCGCGGCCTTTTGTATTTTACCTCAGCTGCGAAGCCGTGGTGTGCAATGTGGGTGGTCCTGGCTGTGAGAGGCAAGTATGTTTTCAATGCACACGACAACTACAACAAAATAACACAAAGATAAATACAGGTTCCCCTTTTCAAAAGTATTATATAAGTTCCCTATTTCTTCGACAATGCATTTTATATCATGTTTATCATGTATCTTCTTGAAGGGGGCCTTCGCAATGTATTCAGAACCCGATAGTTGACGTGCGATCTTACCATACAAGCGACATGACACCAGCAAAAAGTGAGTGGATCCGCTTGACAAACAGAACAGGGTTGCCTCATTGCGCAGGAGCAGCACCTATGGAATCGTACAGACCTACAGTACTGTTGTATTGAGCAGTACGGACCTACGTGCATCAAAATAATCAAACAACATCAAACAACTAAAAAGAATCTGTTCTGAACTACCTGCAAGTGAGAGAAAGAGCAGTTAGTCTCATCTGCCATGCCACCAAAATGGAAACAATCCAATGATTTGTCAGGCATTTGTTCTGACAAAGCTCTTCAAGAACCGGATTTGTCGGGCTCGCAGCCAACCAAGCACGCGACCACATTCCGTAAAACCCAAGCATAAAGCCTGCGGACAAACTGGCAAGAATGGCACATACATCTTATCATCATCTATCTGTGCATGTTTGAAGGGCTGTGTGGGTGTTCTCTACCAGTACCTTCCTGCAGTTCCTTCCTACTTGGCCTCCTTTTTCCTTTCAAACACTGTCGACCATCCAAGATATCCAAGTCTCGCACCGCGTGTAGCCAATTTTGTTGACATCTTTCGCCGTACCTGGGCGGGAGATGTCAGCGGTTTCGCATCAAAGCCCCGGGATGTTCGTCGTCCGATTGGTCAAAAGCTCCACACCCACTCAGTGGGCAGTTCGGAAAAAAACTGCTTCGGATGTCTCCTGTAAGGCTTTTGGGCGAATTGTAACCATTCCAAGGAGGATGCTCGGAACGAAGTACCAACATAGCAGCAGGTCTGGTGCACCGCAGTCCACTCGCGGTGCACCCACCACACAATACATGGTATCTCCTTGTAAACATGGGGGGATCTTCTACTTCGCTGGAGTCTAGCCAAAAATAGCCAAAGTTAAAGGACGCAGAAGTCCAGACGCCAGCAGAAATAAGTCCCTGACATTGATGCTTCGACTCTGAGCCCTTCAGAGTTCTTTTGGGAACTGCGCTGGTCATGCGCCATCCTTAGCGCAACCGGCAATGGCGACTCCAGGATGCCTACCTCTTTGAGACCGAGATTTGGGCACCCGAAAAACCAGCGGCTTTGGGGGGGCCAAGGGCGGCCAAGAGACGTCCTTTGATGTAATGACCCATGTAAATGCACCGTGAGAGCTCAGCTCGTGCCACGACTTTATTGGAGCTCACCTGGCAGTGACTGGTGCAAAGGCAAGCAGGAAATGGCACTAGACCAGACACTGGACCACGTTCGTCAGACCACTCACAGCCCTGGTAGCGACTTGTAGGCCACAAGTAGGGTGACGAAAAGTAGGGCCGGTGGAAGATCTAGACCACACAGCTAGCCCCACAAGTGGAATCTGCGCTTTCAGCAACCAGACCACACATCAAGGCGAAGCGAAAGAAGCAAAAAACATGAGAAGTTCAGTACTGTTCATTTGACAACACGAGTCCAGCAGCTTGCTGCTCTTCATCCCTTGGGGCTAGTTGTGCCACGTCCCGGCCACTGAAAATGGTTGCACTTCAACTGCTACAAGCATCCCCATGCGTCACTCAAGCTACAACAGCGTTCCCGACGGCAGGCCCAGAATTCATGGCTCAATCGCAGGTTCAGGCCGCACAGTCAAGGGTGGCACCAGGTTGAGGTCGAAGGACGGTGCTCGCTTGGCGTAGCTCTGCACAAGCTCACCTGCACATCAAGTAGTGAGTCCCCTGTGTCATGATCATCCCTGGCGTGCACGCCAGGGTGTTCACCATGACTCTTTATGAGACCCTGGTACACCCAGTGACTCATCTGAGTGAACACCCAAAACATCCCAAAACCATGGAGCCCCGCAGGTGAGCCCCGCAGGTGTGCAAGCCGCTTGCACTGGAAAGTCCCTGCCTTCCAGTGGCCCGTCTGGGATTCGTCGCACTGGCCCCTCCAAGGCAGCCACTCGCTCATAAAGCTGTCGTTTGACAAAGTCCCGGTAAGGATCCTCCAAGCAATGCCAGTTTGGGAGGTTGGGTGGACATGGTAGGTGTCCTGATGCTGTTACTTTTGAAATCTGTGCAATGATACTTGGATATACTTGGATATGACTGGAGTGGCCATGTTTGCAACATAGAGTTGCTACATGGTCCTGCTCACGTGCCTTTTGCAGCCAGGCCATTTCCTGCCAAGGGGCATTTCTGCATGTCTGCTTTGCATCAGCGGGACGCGTAAGAGCAACACCTAATCAGTGCGGCTAAACTGTGAATTACCATTGCAATGTGATGCCAAAATCATGTTCACCCCAGCATGTCCTGCTCCACAGCTGCACGAATGTTGCTGTACACTTGGGCACAAGCATCCCTGTCCTGGAAGCCAACTCTCCATGGGTGCAAACATAGCATCATGCTATATAGGACACAAAACCACCCCAAAAAAAAGAAAAAGCACTTGTTCGAAATCTTGTATGGCGTAAACGTACATAACTACTTGCATAGTATCATAGTCTTAGCATGGTCCTATGGCATGTTCTCAGCATAGTCAGCTGCGCTTCACTCGGACGCTCGCAACTCACCCGGACCGGTCGACCGGTCGGAAGACGTGGCATGCGGCGCGTGGTGGAACCCGCATCAAATCAGCCTTTTGATGCTTATCTGGATAGCTATACCATGTGTTATATAATATATAGCGATACAAATATTGACGCATCCTATGATTCCTATGTCAGAAATCAAGATCTACTCTTCCAAGCCAACCGTTGGAGCCGAGTCGTGATCTCCCTTCATCGTCCCTCCTTGGGGTTGACCTCTTTAAGATCGAAGGGCTTCCCAAAGCCTCCGAGCGCACAGCGAAAGCCGAACGCCCCCACCGTTGATGCCGTAGGATGGCACAGGTGGGTTCCACCTACAGATCCCCCAAACACATCAGGCACACCAAAAGGTAGATGAAAAATCTCCTGTTTCGGTCTCATCAAGGAGCTGAAATAGAAGCGATCTCCAAAGCCAGATTCGCTTTCGGTCGCGAAGAGTGATGAACTTACCTTTGGGGCAATGAGAGGGAAGCCCAGGCCACCCTCCTCGGCTGCATCAAAAATCACATGGCTCATGTTGCAAGCCTTAGCAGGCCCCAATGAATACACAATTCCGCTTATGGGGCACGACTTGCCCAAGCAATCCCAAACTCAAAAGGCTTGCACTCCAACAGCCTGCATGAGCCTGAATGACCCTTTGCAGCTTGGAATCCAACGACTCGGACACAGGCATCAGCCCGCCCGAACGCTTCTGACTTCTCGCCATCCAGGGTACGACCTTCTCGGCCTGCTGGCGCAGGTCGCCCAGGTTGGCGAGCACCTGTGAGCTGCTAAAGCTGCCAACAGATTGAAGTTTTTCTTTTTTTTGGTCACTAGTCGTACCAAGGGCATCACTACTCGTAACAAGAAGTGCATTACTACTAGTAGCAAGACGCTACGAGTAGCGATGCCCTTGTTACTAGTAGTAGTAATGCCCTTTTTACTTGTAGCGATGCCCTGGCTGTGGGTCAAAAGCCCGGACCTCTAATCCCTGGGAGGTTGACCTCCTTCATAGTCTGTTCTGCTCTTTGTTTGGTCAATCAGGGTCCTTCTGTGTCCACCCACCACATGTCAATGCGTACCCCACTGGGCATTGCCCCGGTTTTTCCCACCTGCGCGCTGTCATCCGCTCCAATCCCACCAAATGGCACCACGACGGCATTGAAGCGTGCAGCAACCCGGACAAAGTCCGTCTTGTTGGGCCAAAACAGCCTGGTCCAGGTGGATGATGCGTTTTTTCGCACAAAGTATTCGTCAACTGGGGGCGTCATTCCTAAACAGGGTTGAAAAAAAAGTGGATTGAGAGTCGATGGCACAATCCCCAAGTTCGGTGGTTTATGTGTACCCCCATCATCTGCAAGTTATCTTAGGGTGCCAGTGCCATCTACTCCCTGAAACCACTGCACAAAGAAAATGAGTGTGTATTTTATAGGGAGGCCGCCAAAACAAATATATAGCTTGGAGGAGATCTTTTCCTTTTTCAGGCGGGTCCGGGGTCGTTGCCAGGGCGGTCTCCCTCGTTCCATACACACCCCACAAAAAAGAAAAAACACGCACCAACCAGTCGCTGGTATTCCTCACCGGGGCCGTGCAAGGCCTCCCGGATGCCGCCGGGAAAAAGGAGCACCATCTCACCTCCAGAGCCCAGCGTGTTCCGCATGCGATCACGCGTGGTGCGTTTTCCGCGTGCCGTCACGCAACCGTCAGGTGGAGGGAAAAGCTCGCAAACACTGTAAGTGAGTACCGGTGTGACATATAGAAATATCATAAATATCAAGCTAATTTAAGAGAGTACTCAGATCTTTCATGTGGATATGAAAGCAACTTGGTCCAGCAACTTGCTCTGGTCACCTCAAAAATCAAAAGAATTATATACAGTAAGTGCCAGTCCTGGTACTACACTCTTGGTGATCTTGGTTTTTATCTATTCAGCTGGGGTGGTGGTTCGAAGCCACCTTCCAAACATGTGAGCGCAAGGAGGACTCGGATACAAAGCTTGAGAAGCGTAAGGTCTGCACTGGGCTGAAGAGCACGCTTCAGCTATGCTTATTATTATGTATATTAAGGCTAGTTCTGACGACGCTGCCAAAACATAAACAAATGCATCAACAAGGCAAGGGCAATGCAAAACCAATGCCATGGGTCTCAAAATCACATGAATAGATTATTGAATAGGTCTTCATGAGTGTGGGTCATGACAGGCCGGTGGGCGTCACTCCCCTCACAGCCAGATCTGGTTTAAAGGTGTTTGATTCCTTCATGTCCCGCGCCTTGCTGCAGGAGCTTGAAGATGTTGCGAGGCGAAACCGGCACCGCGCCGAAGCGCTGGAACTGAGGAGGGCCTTGACCCTCCCGCGTGCGCATGGCTCCAGGATAGGCGAGGCCACGGGTCAGAACCCCCCGATCGACCAGGAATTCTCGCACCAAGGGACCCAGATCTGCTCCTGCCAGCTGATGATTGCCCACCAGCAGCACCTTGGTCGGCCAAGATGGAAGAAACAGCTGAATCTGTGACTTGGCATCGGATCTGCTGATCTACCGCCATTCATGGCGAGTTGTGCGGGTGTGAGACACGTGATTGCTCCAATTGGGATCCATGCAAGTCATCTGTGCTGATTGGAGGTCTTCATGGGTCTTCGTGATTTCTCCGATCCATATATATATGCCAAGTTGCAGGGCGCTCTCCCACATCTGCTGGAGTAGGGACTCCCTCTAGTCCAAAAACTCTCTGCGATGGAGAAGCGGCGCTAAAGCTGCAAAAGACCGGGGAGACCACAGATGCCAAACGCTCAACATCCTTCGAGCCTTCTTCTAGCTCGGCCATGGAGGGGAACTTGAAGTCTGAGACTGGATCCTTTGGTGCTTGGAAAATTGGAGACTCCTTCAAGATGGCCACTAAGTCGATGTCTCCCACCAAAGGTTCGTGGCTCTTGCTCTCCAGTTCCTTCACCTGTAGCCTGTTGATCAAGCAACGCTCCTGGAGAGCGGGCTTCAACATGTTGCCTTCGTCTTTGGAAGGTAACAGTACATCATCGGAGAAGGCCAGTACCGTCGCGGGCAGGGGGTTCCGCTCCGGTGGTCTGCGAAGCTCAGAAGAGACCAGCTCCCAGCCATCACGCAACCACGCCTTCAAGCGAAATTGGAGAGTTCCAGCACGAGCAGCCGCTGAGGCGGAACGAAGTCCCAAAGTTCCAGTGATGGCTTCAGAGACCGTCGCGGTCTCAGGCGCCAGGGCCAGGAGCTCTGACAATGGCACCACAGGTAAACCCGGGCGCAACTGTCTCCAAGGCTGCTGCACCAAACCTGTTGCCGGGTTGACCATCATCAACCCCTTCAGGCTTCGGCCAGTGCGGAAGGCCAGCGCCAAGGCCAGGAGGCCTCCAAAGCCCTCACCAATCAGAACAACTCTCTGGCTACCTTTCCTCCTCAACCACATCTCAATTGAACGCAAGAGCTCTGCAAAGCCCGTCTTCACATCATCCTCCGCCAGGGAGCAGCTCCAAAGCCTTGCACATCAAATCTGACTGCAATTCACTCACAAAGGGACCCAGCGAAGCTCGGGACGTCCAGGCGCAGTGTCACTGGTGTCTGGACCAAAACGACTGGGGCCCGAGCTCGAAGCCTGCAGCTACCAAGTTTGGGTATTGGGAGCTTGGGATGGACGACGATTGAAAGTCAATGTCGGGCAAGTACCTAGGCAAGAAACATGGGCAGCTCAAGTGACAAGGCTGACAAGGTGCTGCCAACCATGATGTATGAAAAAGATTGAAAAAGACCCCGTGACTCGTGACAATCAGAATAATGACCCAAATGACTTGGAACGTATGACTCATAGCTCATTAGTGTCAATCTATTTGTGCTCATCAGATCCTAGAGTTGAGTCACGTCACAGAAGCACATCTCCCGAGGCATCGTCAGGCCCACCAACCAGCTCAAAGCGCACCGGCCCGACCGCATCAGCGGTGCCTGTGGAACTCGACGATCTTCTGGACGAACGAGAAAGCAGGTGAAACAGGGGGCGACGAGCATCCTTAAAGCATCCTTAAAGCATCCTGAATCCTTAAAGCATCCAAAAAATTCCCAAATTCCAAGATCCAAAGGTGTGGTGCTGCAGTTCCCCTCCTTTGCTTTCTTTGATGTGTGCAATGCTGTAGGCTGTAGCATGCAGTCGGAGCACATGGTTTTGGCCACGATCTCCCCCGCCCGTCCTGGAGTTGCAAGTCCGGCAGCTTGGAGTCGAACCTGAGAAGTCAGCGTAGGTCATTGGGATGTTGAATGTTGTATGCAGTGGTTCCAAAAACATCTAATTAAAACTGTCGTGCATTAACTGTATTGTCGGGGTTGCCTGTTCTTATTAAACTGCTGGCGTACAAACGCCGCCGTCCCGCTGCCTTGCGACCGTGGCGAGTGCTGCGCATTGGCCATGCGAGTGCTGCAACTGTGGCGGCCGTGGCGGCAAGTTGACGCTTTAAGGGCATCAAGCGCTGCGACCGTGGGGCATTTGAGCCAGCCAAGTCAGAGCTTCTCAGCACATCACCTTGGAATTGGAGGACTTTGTGCAGTGACTTGAAGTGCATATAGTCCTTGCCCTCCCCACCGTCCCCACATATCCATATATGCCCTTCTGAGGCTATGCCCGTCCGAGGCGAGGCACTGACGATGGGCACTTCTGCTCTCCATACGCCCACGACCGCCATACGGAGCGCTTGCTCAGCACCCCCACGCCCTTGATGCTGAGCAAAAGCTCCACGGCCCCCACTTGCCAACACCGCAAAAGTCGAAAAAAGAACGCCCACACACACAGTCATGTGAACAAAAGCCTGCACAAACCAAATCCTCACCGATAAACGCCAGGGAGACTGGGATGAGACCGATGCAACCTCGGATGTTTGTCGGCCTCGACCTGGCCAAACGCTCGATCGGTGTCTTGTCCGTGTCCCATTGGACTCTCTCTCCATGAAATGTCACCTCGTGCATTCATGTTCGGACAGCTGCTTTTGGGGCGTCATGGGGCGTCAGGGCGTGGTCTCCCTATTCTACTGCACGCCCAGCTGTTGCTTTGCGAGAGGATCTCCGTGCCTCAACTCCCAAGTTTTCTTCTTTGAAAGTATCTTCTCCTGAGAAAGGCCCGAGTAGACTCCAGAAACACCGAACGAAGCCGCTACGCTGAAGTTGATCCCTTGTGTCGAAACGTCCTTGGTTGTTTGTGGCGTACCCGTCTCTCAAGCTTACCCACTTTCGATGGAACATCATCTCCGAATCCAATCCGCTGGTAGTGCTGGCAGGCACACTCGGAAACTGTCATGCTCAGGTTCGCACCAACCACCTGAGCTGCTCACGTTGCGCTTCGCGGCGTTTTGTAGAGGTTCACACAAGGCCCGGAAGTTATGATGGATCAGGGTTCAAAACTCTATATAAACACCTTTTTGTGGAGCCTTGTGTCTGAATGTTGTAGCAACCCCTCCTCTCCGACATACGCCCTTTCTTTCACACACCAAAAGCCACGCACCAAACGTATCTCTGCAAAGTGGCGTTCACGTAACGTGCACCTTAAGTGTATATTCATTGACGTTTTGCAGCTTTGTTCAGACAAGTGGCATGGTGCAGCATGCTCTAGCAACCTCTCCCCGCGAGCCAGGTCACTTATGCGGAACGCGTACGTGACATACGACGGCGCTTCCGCAGCACAGCTTGGCACCACAGCTCTCACATACACCAGTATTATCCAGTATTGACAAGCCTCCACGTGCGCCACACCACACCAGATGTTGTAGCAACCCCTCCTCCCCGACATACGCCCCATTTTTCACACACCACACTCATACTATATACCTCTGTTATACTCCTGGTACCTCTCTACCTTTCGTGTTTCCCTGTCTCAAGTAAAGCACGCCCCAACATGACTTTGGCCGAGGCTTAGTAGCAGAATAGAAAGACGGTCACGTAAAAACAAAGGTAACCCGACATGTTCCTTTTTGTTTGAGTTAGGTAGGTAGCGTTTATTTGTGGAATTGGTGCTTGGGACTACACACACATGGTGTGGTGTGGCACACGTGGAGGCTTGTCAATACTGGTGTATGTGAGAGCTGTGGTGTGTAAGGTGCCACATTCGGTCGTACGTCACGCACGCGCTCCGCATAAGAGTGACCTGGGTCGCAAGGACAGGTTGCTTAGAGCATGTGGTGTGGTGAGGTTTGTCCACACGGCTTTGCAGAGAGTAGGTGAGTGATTGAGTGATGCTAGTGGTGCTGGCGAGGGGGGGGGTTCACCAAAATAATTGATTAAGCAATTATTCATCACATGGGAGGGGGGTCAATAGAATTGATGTATTTTTTCCCGAGCAGGCTATTGAAGCTACCCAGTTGCTTCGCAAAGCAAACTCAAGCTAGCCCTTACCAGGCTACCTTTCGTGATTAAACACTATTATGAGGTACCCACCCACTAGAATCACCACCGATGGTGCCCCTCACTAGCGACACGCCGCATTTACACATGCACTCTTCCCCAATGGCACGGAGCCACACAAACGTGATTTCCACCGAGGCCTCGCAAATCGCATGGCACGGCGACATCATGTATCGAAATCTGTAGTTGTTAGTCTGATGTAAATAAAGTTTGCAAGCAAAGAATATCAAAGAATCACTAGTTGAATCTATTTAACTCAAGGGTGTGTAAAGGGAAAAGGAAAAAATACCCTCGATCTGGAGGTTTTTTCAATGTTTGATACGAGTTCAATAGAGTCTCTCTAAAGTGGCCTGGGCAACTGTTGGGTTTTGAAGCTCTTCCCAGGTGTCCATCTTTGCGAGTCTGCCTATGTGGGGGACCCCCCATTAAAAAACGATGCATGCCCTTACTTATGAGGGGGAGAGGCCCGTGTTTTTGATAGATGGAAGGGATTTATGTTTTATATTAGTATGATTATATCTGTGCGTGTGTCTGGGACATTTATTTATGCATGATGTGCTTCCGGAGGGCCTGGCAATGCTTCCGGGACCCGCCCTTTGCTTCCCAGCGGCGGCTGGCGGATCTTTAGGGCCAGTTTGGGAGCTTTCAGCACCTGGTCACAGAGGAAGAATCGTCAAGGCCAGGGCAGTCTGGGAAAACGTCGGACGCCATGGTGTTTTCCTTCGAAAGCGGCCCTTGCATATGAGACACGGGCAAAATACCAAACCACAGAGAGCAGGCTGGAGCTTGAAGAAATATGATGAAATGAAATGATGAAATGGTAAATATATGTTGACACTTTTAGGCGCTGCACGCTGCACACACACACACACATATATATATATATATAATATGTAGACTATATGTACGAATCGAAGACTTCGGGGAAGCTTCAACCAATGAGCGAGAGAGAGAGAGAGAGAATAAAAAAATGCGCCTTCGCATTGGCCAGCAGGACTTTCTTTCTCTTTCTCTTCTCCTTCTGTGGTGCCCTGCCCAGGGTAGTCCTCTACTGGCGGTCTTTGTGTTCAGAATCCGTGTCCATGCTTGATGCACACATGCCCACAATGTCCTTGTCCTCTTTCGCTTCGTTCCTTTGCTCGAGGCATATCAAATCATATGAGCTGCAAGCTTCGGCTCCAAGTGGAATGTTTCATGCCTCCTACTCACTCACTCACTCACTCACTCTCTCTATCTCTCTCTCTCTCTCTCTTGCAATTATGTAACTGGCCCCGATGAAGAATCCATTCCCATACTGGCCCCGATATATTTTTTTTGTCCACTGGTGTTTGTCGAAGGGGGGAGGTGGTGGGTTCTGCTTTTCGACAGCATGGAACGGATTCTTCCAAGTCCCATTCTTGACGCAGTCAAGGCTCCACGCTGAGTCCGTGACGAGGGTGGCATACTGCAGGTTCCCCAGAAAGCAAGCCGGGCCCAGAAAAACGCTTGATCGAAGGGGTCTTACGATCGAACATCTTGGGGACTTAAGGGACCCAAGTGCCAAGAAGTTGCTGAGACATGCTTCAATGGTGGTCCCCACCATTTCATGGCTCGCATTATCTGTTCTAACATCCCACATATTTGGCGGTCCATTCCTGGCACAATCGAGATACACACCTGGTAGGAGGCGGAGCCAAAACAGCTGAATAGGACTACCGGGCAACGACTCGGCCGGAATCGTGCTGGTGGGAATCGTTTGCTCCCTCGTGTTGCCTCCAGCACAGGTACCGGAGCAAAGCCTACCGACAGGGGAATCAGTGGAATGTTCTAGCAGAACACCACCTTAGCAAGTCGCAAGTCGCAAGTCATGAAAACATGATAATGAGACTTGAATTAAACAAAGATCATTTTGGGCAAACAAGAACTTCCAGGCTGTCAGCACTGTACACTGCACACTTCCTAGACTCTAGACTGCCCCTCAAAGGCAAAGCTATGCTCCCCGAATCCAACCGAATGAAAAGAGAGTCTCACATCTTTCTGTGGCCTGTGCCACCATAAATACCAGACTTCAACAGCCATGCGGCAACACTCGGGTGCAGTAGGCCTTCCAAAGCCTGTCCGTCTCCCTCTTGGAGGGCCCGGCGTACCGCAGTGGAAGAAATGTCCGGTAGCTCAGGGCCAACGATGAAGTACCCTTGGTCCAAATCGACGCCATGCCTTTTGGCACCCAAGATCACCTTCTCCGTGAATCCCGGCCTTCCCATGGTCACAAAGCGCCGGTCTGGGGCTGAGGAGCGCCACTTCTGATATTTGAAGACGTCATCCGCCCCATTCAGGGCATACCGGATGAATCTCAACGTGGGCCATCTTCGCTGCATCCAGTCAGCTGCAATGTGCTCACGAGTGGGATTGAAACTCATCCATGGCACATCTGCAGTGGCCATATCCACCAGCTGAGCTCTGTCCACATAAGGGATGGACGGCATTCCCTTTGCGTGCAGCTTTTCACCCACGTGCCGATCACCATTCAAGGAGAGTAACCCGAGCACCTCAGCAAACTGCTCCCTCGTGGGGCGTGTGAGGCCGTCGCCCATCAACAGTTGGCGAGAACATTCGAAGGCCATGTAATGAGCGGTGGTCACGGGGCAGCATGAGCCGGTCATGGTGATCAACGCTACGAAGCTGCCCTCCCTTAGCTCATCCAGAAGGGGTGAAAACTTTTCCAAGAAAGCGGCCTCCATGGCCAGTGCTCAGGAATACTGGAATACTCGATGGGTGGTAGCTACATGCGCCATTCTGCAGTTGTATGCATGTGTGGGGGGGGGAACGCTCTGGTGGCTGAGGTCAAGCTGGCAAGATTTGAGACATACAGTAATTTCTTCATGTTTTGACTCCCTCATCACGATTTTGCAGATCCGATTCTCAGGGTAGAAACTTGATGCGATGTTGTAAGGATTGTCCCGCATGACGACAGGGGATAGAATGAATCAGCCAAGCAAAACGCGCACTCACACACACAAAAACAAATCATTGTTCCATGATGTTCCATGCAGCTGTCCGCAGCATCCTTTTCTTTCCGCGCCTCCTTCAGTGGAGATCCACATGACTGTCGCATGAGAAGCAGGCATGTGGCAAACCCAGCCAGCCAGAAAGCTCCCTTCAAGGCTTGGCCAAATGCGAAGATCGCCCCGACGAGCTCCCAATCTGCGCTCCAGCGGCGAATCTCTGCTGATCCTTCAATTGAATTCCAGGAACCTTGTTACTAGTAGCAATGCCCTTGTTCCTAGTAGCTTCTAGCTACTATACTATAGTAGTAAGGCACCTTGTTACTAGTAGCAATGCCCTTGTTACTAGTAGCTTCCAGGAACACATCGATGAAGCCTGGAAAACTTGGACCCTTTCAGTGCGCTTTGGTTGCTCTGTGGGAGACTCATGCATCCTGAATTGACTTCCTCAATGCGTGCATTGCAAGAATTCCCGCGCTGGCCATGGCTCCCCGCAAATGAATCCGGCCAACCATGCCTCAGTAAAACGAGTCCTCGCAAACAATGAGCTGCGTCACCAAAGGCCTTAGGCTGTGGATCGCTATGGATCCCTCGTTTGGCCCCTTGTGCACGTTTGGCGGCGTTGAACCACTAGGAGGCATTCGGTTCTTGCAGCAGCCGACTGAGATTTCCACAGAAAGCTGATAGCCTTTCGACGATGTGCATGTTTGCATATGCGAATGCTATATGTCCCCACTCATGATTGGCATCATCTCCTTGATGAACCTCAGCAGGGCCTTGCTGGAGAGGAAGGAATGAACATCGATGGCTTTGAGCTCCTTCCACAAGGTTACAGCCCCCACGGTGGGAGACACCTTTGCAAACCCCATCACTTCGCAGGCACCTTCGCAGCCACAGCATCACTTTTTGCACCTCAATTTGGAACACAAGCTGCATGGCAAAACATGGCACGAGCGGCACGAGCACGATGGTTCTGGGAAGCTGCTGAGCTTGCTGGCTTTCTGCAAGATGCTTGTAGGCAAGCAGAAACTCCATGATTCCGAGCTCCTTCTCCAAATACAGCCTGAGCGCCTGAAGCATCTGAAGCCCAACTCACGGGACCCCAAAAACATCGCACCGGCCAAAACACTCGTCTTTCTTCTCGATTGGTGGGTGCTGTGGTTCTGCACCTCTATTCGGTAGGGCAAGGAGTCGGTCTCAGTGACCGGCCTCAGCGACGACGTGTTCGGTGGTTTTCCCATCTTCGGCAATGCTGGGCCACGAGCAGCTTGATTTCTTCCCCACCAGGATGCAAGAAGCAGGGGCGGGAGCCTGGGTGTCAACCCCTCACTCTCTACTCCCTACTCTAATATACTCTCTACTCTCCTCTCCTCTCTCTCTCTCTCTCTCTTTCTGTGTCTGGTTGCTTGGCAACACATTGAAATGCAACTTTCAGTCCATCGCCTTCATCAGTGGGCTCCGATTCTTCCTCGGCTATTCTCACCCGGCCCTTGATGCTGCACGGCCTTTGTGATCAGCTCGAGCCTTCGTGATCATCGACAGCTTGCATCCCAACCTCATTCTGCCAATTTCGACATAGGTGTGCATGGTTTGAATCAGCTCCACGCCCCTCTTCCAAAGTTCGAATCAGCTCCTGGTTTCAAATCAAAAAACCACTGCGTGCTGCTGAAGCGGAACAAAAAAACAACAAAGCAAGCACGAATTCCCGCTGAAGCGGAAACCAGGCTGTTTGCACACATTCCAGATGAAACTTAATGAAGAACCCCTTGCGAAGAGCAGTGCCTTGCGTTGATCCCCTTTTGGGCGAGCAGTGCAGCTCCTTGTAGGAGCTACTGTAAACTCACTCGAAGCAAATGTCAAAACCACCCAATGCACCACTTAAACCAAAGCAAATGATGCAATTTGAAGTGGAAACTGAAGGAAATGAAGGGCCATCAAGGTTCTCAGGCTGATTCTCAGGAGTCCGAGGCTGAGTGTTAGGACTGCGCCCACCTCAAGCAAGTGAAAACCCAGGCAGGACCTATTGGTCAATGCAAAACCCTGCATGTTGGACCCTACTGGACCGTTATTGGTCTATGTTGGACCTATTGGACCTATTGGTCAATGAAGACTTAGAAAAAACGGTTCTTCCAAGGCCTGGAGGCTCACGTGATAAGTCCTCAGCAGACGGCCCCAAGCGACGGCCCGTAGACCGCGGTGCCCACCCGAATGCTCCACGTCTGGTGAAGAAATATACATGGGACTGCGCCAACTGAAGGCAAGATGCAACCGCACACCCGGGGCTTGCAGCGAGATGGTGTGGTGGGCCAACGGCGCTGCTTCCTTAAAGGGCATCGGAATTGCGGGTCGGGGGATGGATCATGGTAGAAATGTCATGAAATCATTGTAGAAATGTCTATGTTATTTAATGATATTGCTTTTATTTCATGACATTTCCTAGTGTTACCGCGTAAACCAATGGGTTCGGCCAAACAAACCTATTGTTACCACACAAACCTATTGTTCCCGCATATGGACACAAATGGACACAGTAGTGGATACAAATGGACATCGAGCGTCTGAGCCCTGCGCGCTTGGCCCGGGGCGAGCGTGAGCCGTCGGAAGCACTCTCTGCATGACTTGCACGCGATGCAGATCGAGGTCCTGAGCAAGAAGGAGGCTGCACCAGGCTGCAACATGCTTGATCAAGCGCCAAACTTGTGCATGCAGCAGAAAGAAAGACCCCGCAGCCCCTGTCTTTGAAGGGTCAAAGCAGGAATGTTCGAAGCGACTATCCGTTCCTTTCTAGCCTTGACAGGCACACAAATCTCGCCAAGCTGCTTACAAACTTGCTCTTCGCAGCTTGCGGCTGTCTTTTGAGGCGTCTTGCTTCCTGACCATCTGCTGTAACTGTCCTGAGTGGCTCTGAAGAGGACATTGGACGCATTCAAGCTCAGAACCCTGCCTCGAGCTTTTCGGTGGTGTGCTGTTGCGTGGAACCGTTGCCTTCAAAGTGACTACAACAGCAGAACGTCCAATTTGCTACAAGAGCAAGCTAGCTATGTCCGAGTCTGTCTAAAATGCGAAACGAAGTGAAGAGTTGTGGATTTCTGGCGCCGTCATCTCACCCAAAGGCGCTCACAAAAATTCCCTCTGAGGTGGCTTTGAGGGATCCACACACCAAAGGTCTTGGAAAAAGGTGGACACGTCAACTCCACCTCCAAGTCCTTCTACACTGCGTGAAAGAATCGATCTTGCAAGAATGGATCATGAAGTCGGTTTCTCAAAACATCTCAAAACCACTTGAAGAAAGTGCTCCTTGAAATCTGAAGTCTCTTTTTCTGATAGGCCTTGGCAGGCGGACTTACACATCTGCCGGCGCCATATCCTCACAAGGCGGGCGGACCGCGGTGACGGCGGCCACGGTTGCGTCATCAAAACAAACTTCCTACTCCTCATTAGGTAGCCAAGGCCAATTCCAAAGGTGACACAAGCACTTCCGTTCATTGGTGGACACTGACTGACATGACTCAACTGACTGTCCTTGATCAGTTGGCCTCTGATCCCTTTGATCCTTCTCAATCTCCCAAAGTAGTTGTCTGATCATTGCTTTCACCGTAGGCCGATGCAGCAACTCATTCACAGAGGGCCTGCAATTGGGGTCCTTGGTGAGCATCTCCGCAATGAGACTTCGCAGCTCCGCGGAGAAGCTCGCAGGTACTTGCGGCGGAACACCACGCAAAATCTTCAGAACAAGGCCTTGCATTGACTCTGCATCGAAAGCATGACGAAGGGTTGCAAGTTCATAGAGCACACAACCCAAGGACCACACATCAGATTTATAGCTGTAAGGCCGCTCCTGGCAGATTTCCGGCGACAAATAGTATGGAGTCCCAATAGCTGTCCGGGCGCAGTCTTGGGTGTGCCGCAAGACCCGAGCAATGCCAAAGTCCCCGACCTTCACCATTCCATCACCTGGCCCTGCCAAGAAAATGTTCTGAGTTTTCAGATCCCGATGAAGGATGTGTCGATCATGGATGTGCTTCAAGGCCAGTGCAATCTGGGTGAACCACCTCAGCACCAAAGCTTCTGCAAACAGAGACTTTGCCTGCCGTTTCCGTCCAATCATCCGGTACAAATCACCCCTCTCAGCAAAGTCCATGATGATGCAAAGAAGACCTGAATCAACATAGGACTCTCTGTAGTTGATGATGTAAGGATGTCGCAACCTGCTCAGCACCTTGACTTCGTTGGCAGCTTCCAAACGCTGCTTCTCAGGCATCTTGGACACATCTATCTGCTTCAGAATGCAGCGTTCTCCAGAGTCACTCTGCACAAGCCAGCAGCAGCCAAAGCTGCCCTTGCCCACCACCTGGATCCTCTTGTAGGACTTCATGCATTCAAATTGCGTCCAATCAAACGTGCGACTTTTGGTGCAAAAATGTGTGGATCTGAAGAGAAAATCTCGCTGTCAAGCTATGTGTTAGGCTCGCTGCGCCTATTACAGTAATTTCGTAGAAATGTTGCCACATGTGTCTGAGGCCCTTTTCGCGCTGCAGGAATCCAGAGACGGGCGACGTGACATGTAGCAAATCTAAACAATACTCAAGCTTCAACGGAACAGTTGAAGCAACGCCATGGGTTGAGGTGAGCACAAATCAAGAAGCCTACTAAGCCTACAAAATGAGTCCTTCGTCTTAGAGGCCCACCCTCTCTTTTCTTGTCTGAAAACGTCAGCCCTGCCACCTTATTGGCCGGGCCTAAACTCGCATGCCACTCCAAATCTCTACCAGATTTACACAACAACCGTGAAATGCTCTTGCAGCACCTCCAGGCACGAGCTGACTGTCAGCACGCTGCAACATGGGTCGTCGCTCTTCTGCAACACAACCCGTTATTCCACAGGCCCCTCCATGACACATGATGACATGTGCATCATGCATCACGCAGGCATGCTCTGTCTCACGTTGGTGCCCTTCAGCATTTCAGGGGACCAAAAGACCTCACAGGAATGGTTGTTTGGAATTCATCTCGCATCAACAGTGGCACAACAGTCATTGAAGCGAGCTGGGCTCTAAGGGAAACAAATACAAAATACTATAGGATCAAACTTGGAACTGGCATCGGCATCTCAATCTTGTGTAGACTGCTGGCCGGGATGCGCCACGAATCGCACAATATTAACAAAAGAAAAGATAGCTCAGGATCCATTGCACTGTCAGTCTCACAAGTCATGGACCTGGATGATTATATTCACAATAATCAGTCATGTCATGATCATAATGATGGTGGCTTCAGACCCTCAAAAACAAGTCATGATCATTTCAACTTTGTCTGAGCAGTTGTCTTCCGTGGACCGTTCCTCTCCTTACCCTGGCCGCGGGCCTCTGCACCCATGGTCCTTGGATCTTACTCGGCTATCCCTTCTCGGTGTTCCCAGCCATCACGACCGAAGCACGTTCCGCACGTCGGACGTTTGGCTACCACGCACGTTCTTGCCAAAAATTAGGTTATCTCCGCTTGATCATTGATCGCTTGTTGAGCTCTGTGAACGCAAAGGTTCTGCAATTGCACAGACAAATGCTCTAGAAGAAAAGAAACATGGGCGAAAGCAAACCAATGGCTTCGGCAGCAACGACCCAGGTCAAACCAACATGGATCCAAAAGCAGCTCATCACTCAACCCGTCCTCACTCAAATCCAAGCGTCATGTTGGATGGATTCACCAGATCACCGGAACTTCCCATTCCAATGCCTCAACTCTTCGGAGGTGAACTGAGACGAAAAATTGGAGGAGTCAGAGGTGTCCAAGTGAATCCTTAGGCCAAGTCTGTCTACGAGCCGCGCCGCAGCTTCTCTGTCCGTCCTCAAAATGAGCAGGATGGAGGATGTGGAGCGGTCCCCTTGCCATGGGATCTGGAAGACTAGTGACCAGATTTGATGATTCACCTCCGACCAGAAAAATCGCAGATGCTCTCGTGCTGAGAAATCCACAGGCCCCGGTCCAGCATCATCTGCTGCTCTGCCGTCAGTTCGCCGTCCGAATCCTACACTACAAAGCACAGTCGGGCGACAAAATCAGCGGCACCACTCATGGGCGTTCTCCTCCTCGCCATATCTTCGCTCCTCTTTGCCAGGGATTCTGTGTCAGTGCGTAGCCAACGTGTCCCAGTTCATCCTTGTTTAACATGCATGACGGAAAATGTAAGGTTTCGGGTCAAAATGCAGAATAGCAGTGAGCATCCGACACGGAGCAGCGAGATGTCTATATACAGTAAGCAAAATACCAGCTTGGCTTTGAACCACTGCCAAAAAAAACCCTTAGAATCGTAGGGACCAGGCATGCATGTGCCTTGTCAAGTGGGCATTCTTCTAGACACCTTCTGTTATTTCGTGACTATATATGTCTATCAGAATCAGAGGGTCTGTTTGTTTGTTTGCTTGTCTACTTGTTTGCTTGTTTGTTTGTTTGTTTGTTTGGTTGGTTGGTTGGTTGTTTGTTTGTTTGTTTGTTTGTTTGTGTGGTTGTTTGTGTGGTTGTTTGTGTGGTTGTTTGTGTGGTTGTTTGTGTGGTTGTTTGTTTCGTTGGTTGTTTGTTTGTTTGTTTGTTTGTTTGTGTGGAGACGGGTGTGAACCCTGGTCTCCTCATCAGAGGAATCAGCTTCAGGAGGAGGCGGAGGAGGTGGGGGCACTGGAGCTGCATTTGGGTCAGAGTGGCTGCCACCTAAGGCGGATGTGGGTTGAAAAGAAAGGAACAAATCAATGAAGTCTACAGATCCAAACAATTAGAATGCCAAAATGATTCTGCTGAACGCATCTCCTCCAATGAGGCCGGAACAGAGTCCACGTAGGCCTGAAAATAAAGCCTTCTCGCGTTTTCTTTGGTCAGCCTGAGAGTATGTATGGTCATAGTCACGGCTAGTTTGATGCGACCAAAAGGGCAAACAGGCACCACCCAATTCCCTGGCCTCCTGTGCCTTCAAGCTTGACCTCGGCCAGGCTTCTGAGGGTTGTGTGCCGCAAGTGAGTTTCTCAGGGAAACCCACGGCCAAAAGCACGCTTAAAACCTTCACTGTCCATGTCTTCCTACCGCTTTCTCCTCCAAAGTGGGGAGGAGACAGGGCCCGAAAACAAAAGGGTGCTGAAGAAGAACGGTTCCTGAGCAGCTGGCAGCTTCTTGCGCACATCCACATTCTCAGGGTGAACCTGAGTGGCCACTGGTGGACTTCCAAGGGGGCTGAAACGCCAAGGAAAAAGGACACCACGCGCACCTCCAACGACAGCTTGCAGGCTGCGATTGCTTTGGAGACCTGTCGATGGCTGAGACCAAGCCACGTCGACAGCAGAAGTCCTGTTGCCTGTTGCAGTCGCCCTGTCTTTAGCATGTCGCTGAAAAGTTAAGCTTGCTACCCCCTTCTACTGACAAGTAAAGTTTGCTACCCCCATGTTTTAAACTGATATGTTCTCTGCAACATCCATCGTGGCACCAAGAAAAAGCACCTCACCGGCAGCTTCAAAAGCTTCAGCCCTTCTGTAGTGCACCTGCCACGAACCGCATCCGGTCCAGTCCCGCCGTTTCAGCGGCACGTGCCGCGCCTTGCCCCGCAGCTCGGCGGAGACCGCCACTTTGAGGCGTTCCTTCAGAGCCTGAGTCGTGGGAGCTTACAGGTATCTATGTGCAGATGTGAACATACATAAAATAGCTTTCTCTAGATCTATCTATATATATATGTGTGTGTGTTTGTGTTTGTGTGAATGTATATATATACACATACAGCGAACACACACATATATAATATATGCAATATATTATATATATATGTCAAACTAGTGTGTGGTCCCGGTGCTGAGTCAATTCCGAGTCAAAGGCCTGCTCGCAGTGTTCCAGTGATTTCTCAATCTTCTTCTGCTTGATGTAGGCTAGCCTCGCTGCTGCTTACTGGCCGGCTGTGAACGAAAACGGTCTAGGACTCAGGCGCCAGATTGGAGTGAAGCCGAAACTCGGTCTCCGCATCCTCCAACTAAAGCCAATCCAACATGTGGCAACTGATAGAATTGAAAGGGCATGACCATCGATGACAACACGCGGACTCATGTTTCAAGTGCTCCTACTAAAAAGAAGTCTGGGCAGGCTGGGGAGGTGAAGCCCTCATGCCGACACCCAGGACTCGAGCCACTGGAGGCGCCTGAATCTTCTCAGCTCCTTTCAACGCATTTTTCCAATACCTGCGACGATGGATGTGGGGAGTGTCTGTGCGTGCCGCATGAAGCTGGACACTGCGGCAATGATAGGCAATGTGTCAAGTGTCAAGTCACAAAACTCCTGCTCCAAAATCCAAGTCCATGCGCTGCTGTGGCTATTGCAGGCCTCTTTGCCTTTTTCCAGTCCTCAGGTAGGGTAATCACTCCATCCATTTATGCAGCTTTCCTCAGGCCATGAGCCACTTCCAATCGTACAGTACCATACAGTACCTATCGATACATTTGCTTTGACACTTGCGGGGACCATCGCACATAAGTCGCCTTCACACCAGTCGGGCGCAAAAACTGGGCCCCCAGTCGATGGCCCACCAAACTGGACGGCTGAGGCGGTGACTCCTTCTCGGCTGGCGGCATTACCGTTGGATTTTTCCAGCTCCGTGGCGTATTCAATCTCCTTACGCCTCCCATTTGGCGGCCGTGTTCCCGGAAGTTCGCGTTCGTCCCTCCTCCAACGCGACCCGAAAGTAAGACGTTCAGGTCCAACCAAAGCGAAACATGCTCAGGCTGACGTCTTCCCATACCACAATGGATCATCCTTGGCAAAGAAACATCAATGCCTTGAGTGTTGTCGTGCTTCTCTTTCTCTCAAAGGTGCCAAAAACGGGAATGCCTGCTGCATGGCAGCAGCACATGTATATACATGAATTGTATTGAATAGAATTGTATAGTAAAAAACAATTACACCACCGTAGACCCCAAACAGGTGGGACAACAACGAAGCATTCCCAAGTCCACCTTTTGAGACATCAACGAGAAGGGAGACAAGAAGGGAAACAAAAGGGAACAGAAGGGAGAGAAGACGGACACAGTGATCAACCTTAAGGGAGACAAGACCGGAGACAAAGGGAGACAGAAGGGAAACAAGGCGGAAAAGGGCGGACACCAGCAGTGACAGACCTGGGAGACAAATGAATAGAAATGCTACATTGTTGCTACATGGCCAGCGGAAAATGCGGACACCACCAGTGACAGACCTGGGAGACAAATGAATAGAAATGCTACATGGCCAGTGGAAAAGGGCGGACACCACCCGTGAGAGACCTGGGAGACAAATGAATGGAAATGCTACATGGCCAGCGGGAAAGGGGCGGACACCAGCAGTGACACAAAGGGCGGACACATCTTAAGAAAGAATTGAGAACCCCTAACAGTAAACTGTTTGGGGAAAAATACTAAATAAATAAATAAATATATATATATATGCGTGTTTTTTTTTTACCGTGCAGAGCTAGTGGTGTCGGACATCACGCAGTAACACACAACCTCTTTTCTTCCTTCGAATGCAGGGGTGAAACGCTGCACACTTGTCTGTCCATTTCGATGCCAGCTCATTCAACGATTTAGCACGCGACTTCAGTTTCGACAAACATGACGCGGGTCTTATGGTTCTAACGCCAGGCAAAGATAAGGAATGGATGTCATGAAACTCTTATTCACTACCACTTATGGGCGATGCAGAGTTCCACTCACCGACTGCTGGCCCATCGATGCCTCAGCTCATGCAAGCAAACGCAAGCTCTCAAAATGCTAAAAAGGCTTTGCAACGAAGCCAAATGAAGGTTCTGCCAAGGCGCACTGCTCAGATAAAGCCACGCCAACAAGTTCTAACTGCTTCTTATCCGAGACCTGCACCTGTGCGAACGTGTGTGATTCTGTATGGCTATGGGTTTGTGATGATGTGTAGGTCCGCATTGTACAGCTTGCTTTCGGCAAAAAGAACACTGCGTCAGTGGTCTTTGTGGAAGGGAAGACTCTACTCTAGCAAACAGGAAGGCAGGATTCCGGCTGCCATAGCAGTTCTCCACCAAGAAGATCGCGGCAAATCGTGTCATTTTTGGGGCACGACTCATTCGTGTCGATTTTTTCTCAGTTGAAGTCTTTCTTCGAGGCCTGGAACCGTGGGACCTCCAAGACTTGCCACCGGCCATCTGGCAGTAAGAAGACCACCTGGAGCCTCAGATTTCGCTTGTGTCGCTCTGCTGCACTTCGCACTTGTGTCGCACTCAAGAGGAGAGCGGAACACTCGGAGATTGGCGCGGTACTTCAGCGCGCAAAGTCCAATTCTCTCGGGTTTATGACCCGATCGACCGACAGCACCAGCACCGAACCTGAACATACGACGCAAAAAAAACAAACATGCCCGGACGACCGAGAACCCCGTCTCGTCCCAAGTCGCCCAGGTTTCGCCGCAGTGGGGCTGGACAGAAATGTGCCCGTGGACAAGGATGGGAGCAACGTGAGCAAAAGCGTCTGGGCATCACTCTTGACCTCAGAGTCCGTCGACGACGCGGTTTTTGCAGCGATGTGACAAAAGGGCGATGGTTGCTCGGGCGATGTGGAACGACTGAGCGTTGAACCACCAAGTCAGCCACGCGCATGAAGGCATACCTCGGGTTGCAAAAGGAACCTCTCCCACCAAAGGGGGGACAGACACGCGGCAAAAAACCGATGTTGGGCCAAGCATCGGGGCCCATGGCTCTGGACCAGCTGACAGGAAGAGAAAAGCCCCGTGCAATGCCAGCCATACACGGCCACCCACAGGCCCTGGCCCAGCAGATTCGTGGAAACCTGGCCCGGGGTGGTGAGGGGCTGTGATTTGGGACATCAACAGGCAAGCAAAAACGTACCGCCGTAACGCGGCCGTGGTGACGAGAGACACGAGAAGGTCACAAGCACGAGACAAGCAATGACATGCGGCGCTGCTGTGGCACTGGTGTGGCACATCTGGGCCCAAAAAAAGAAAGAACATCCTGTGGACCCCTGCCGTACAAGTGGTCATCTGGCTCCTCCAGACCAAAGCCCATAGACATTGGTGCAGCACGAGCTCGAACAGGTACTGGCGTGGGTCCTGGCGAATCCGTTGCTAGCAACGTCGTCGCTGGTCTTCTGCCTGGTCTTCTGCCTGGTCTTTGCGTATGCAACTCATTCCAACAACAAAAAAAAGACGCAAGCATTGCGCAAGCTCCATCATTGGATTGGCTGAAGGGAGACCATCTACAGGAAACCATGGCGTTCACCCCTAAAACCATGAGTTTCCTGCAAATTATCCTTTACACATCTTACACCAACATCTGGGACCCCTCGTGGCCATGCCCCACCTTCACGACTAGGTGATGGGCTGGCCATGCACGTGCTTCCAGGACCTGTGCTTTCGCTCAAGATGCTGCGCAAGTGGCGATAGTTCTCCACCCTGCCAGCGAAGACGCACGTGAGAACAGAATCCGCAAGCGAACCGTGTCCAGCTCGTCCACTTTTTGGGCTGCCAAGCCCCCCAAACTGCACTAGGAAGCTGGGGGTTCACCATGTTTTCACTATGCTACCCGTTTTGGGATTCGTCACCCCATGTTCTGCCCTCGGTCACACCTCTGTGCGCCGGTGAGTGCCAGGGATGGAAATCCCACCACAATACGAGCCCAGGTGGAGGCACTCGGCTCCAAAGCCTGCATGCGATTTCGGGACTCTGAATGATGTCACATGTTTTTGTGTTGGCATCATCCGGAACTTGCTGCCGTACCTGATTTCTGCACGAAGAACAGTTGGAAGAGCATTCTTCCTCTCTGGTCTTGTCCCACAAGACACTAGAAAGCACGACACGATGCTGCGCCTGTTTCTTGCTCGAGGAAGATCGGGGTTTCCAAATCTCCAATTGAGGAAAGAAATTGTGGCTGATCACCTTCTGGCAGCGCTTTCAGAGCTAGTGGCATACATTCACAAGTGTATTCCACTTGGGTCGTGCTCTTGATTGCTGACACCGAGAAACTAACAACTTGCTATATAAGCTGCAGACCTTGTAAATCAATAGCTGGACCTGCTTTAGATCCACCTCACTCCTCTCCATGTGTTCAGGAAGGATTCCAGCGCTAATCTCCAGCCACTCTTCAGCACTCACTCGCTGCGAAGGAGGCAAAGGAGCATACCTCAACAGAATTCAACAGAGATATTCGGATGGAATCAGGACGACCAAGAAGGTCTGATTCTTCAACCCAATCATTGCTTGAGCCAAGCTGCAAGTTCCAATGCAAAAGGATGGTTGCAAACATCAGCTGATGCAAGACATCGTAATTGCCGAGACTTCTCATCAGCTCCATTCCATGTACCTCGGGATCTTCATCCTTGGCTTGACTGTCGTCACCCTCCTTCTTCGCTAGCTGCTCATGCTGCCGCCACCAAATTTGCGCGATCCCATCCACCAAACGATCGATTTTAACCATTTCTGTCGGGATGACAATGGTCTTGAAGACCTTGGCCAGGCAGGACACCACGCCTGTCCCAATGAGTCTTACTGAGTTGATGAACTCCAGCCGCAAGGTCTGCGACAAAGCAAAGTCCTCTCCCAGAAATGACCCAACTTGGGACGAACATATGCCTCGCTGACCCAGGAATGCACTCAGTTCGACCGGAAAGTCTCGGATACAGCCAGTGGCCACAACGAAGGCCAGTCCTTGGCCGGGCCGTTGGTTGAAAATTGCCTCGCTGAGCTTCTGCAAGTCAGCGCCGCCCTCCTTCATGACCGCCGTGCGTGGAACGAAAAAGGGCTCAAAGCGCAGCCTGGAAGAAACCTGAACATGGCCCACGGGAAAACTATACAGTACAAACCCCTGCCAGAAAAAGGATGATGCACGCGTCTCCAAATTTGACGCTATTGGTTGCAGGCCCACAAATCTTGTCAGTATGAGTATCTGTCTTAAAGAGTTGGGAGGCTCAACGCAAACGGCTATTCCCTTCGGAAAAGCATGGGACAACATCCAGGGACCACAGGCACAAATACATGGGGCATGGAGGGGCGGGCCCGGAGGGGACCACATCAGTGTCTCTCCGGCCACTTTTGAATGTCCTGCCTGAACGTCAGTGGCCTCTGGCTTGGGTGGTGTCCATTGCTCCAGTGTCTTCAGCTCCCAGTGCTGTGAGTAGCCGGTGACAGCCTCTCTTAGCCAAATATCACTGCTCAACTCCACAGCCCTCTGCCCACGGCCGTTGGAGATGGTTGGGTTCGCACCATGCTGCATAAGCATCACACCTAGGCACCCCGAAACCCATCACAACAAGCGCAAACGATGGCCTGCAACCAGTAACCTAATACCGATGGCCTCCAACCTACTAGCGATCGCCTCCAACCTAATAGCGATGGCCTCCAACCTAATACCAATGGCCTCCAACCTAACAGCGATGGCCTCCAACCAAATAGCGATGGCCTCTAAC